TGCCACATATGCACAGCCATGATGGGATGAATCAAGCAAATGTTCTATTAAAGAAAAGAAAAAGGCCAACCACAGCTTCCGTGCTTTCTCTTTGTCTCTGGCTCTGTGTTTCTCTTTCTGTCTCTGTCTCTCGCTATGTCTTTTTCTCTCTGGCTCCCTTCTTGCTTTTCTTCCATTTTCTCTTTCCTTCCTTCCTTCCTACCTTCCTTCCTTCCTTCCTTCCTTCCTTCCTTCCTTCCTTCCTTCCTTCCTTCCTTCCTTCCTCCTTCCTCCCTCCCTCCCTCCCTCCCTCCCTCCCTCCCTCCCTCTCTTTCATTCATTCTTTCTTTCTTTCTTTCTTTCTTTCTTTCTTTCTTTCTTTCTTTCTTTCTTTCTTTCTTTCTTTCCTTCCTTCCTTCTTTCCTTCCTTCCTTCTTTCTCTCTTTCTTTCTCTCTCTCTTTCTTTCTTTCTTTCTTTCTTTCTTTCTTTCTTTCTTTCTTTCTCTCTTTCCTTCTTTCTTTCTCCCTTTCCTTCTTTCTCCCTTTCCTTCTTTCTCCCTTTCTTTCTTTCTTTCTTTCTTTCTTTCTTTCTTTCTTTCTTTCTTTCTTTCTCTTTCTCTCTTCTTTCTTCTTTCTTCTTTCTCTCTTTCTCTCTCTCTCTCTCTCTCTTTCTTTCTTTCTTTCTTTCTTTCTTTCTTTCTTTCTTTCTTTCTTTCTTTCTTTCTTTCCTTCTTTCTCCCTTTCTACTATCCCCCTTCCTTCTTTTTTACTTTTTGGGAAATAGAAAATGAAGTGAAGATTTTTGTGGGGTTAATGATGTGTGATTCTCATTAATAGTAATGCCAATAAATACTAATCACGTACTGGTGCTATGAGAACCATGAGCTTGGCAGGTTGCTTACCACCCCTCAACCATCCATTCCCGGTCTATTGCCCTGGGCTTAATGCCATTGACAAGATCCCAGAGGCTTAAATTTCACATTTTGTTTCAGGTCTAAGGCAGCCATCAATATATACTTATAGTATAGCTTCTCTTCCCAGACTTATACACACAGGAACAAAGGCCAGCATGATATAGTGGGGGAGGAGGGGAAAGATCAAGCAGCCTCCTGTTCTGCGATCACTGATCTGAGATCTCTGCTTTTTTGAAAAGCAGCATGCAATAGACCAGAGAGTCTTAACTTGGGTAGATGCATCTTCAAAATGTCCATGGATAGATTTCAGGGGGTTCATGAGCTGTGATTGAAAAAAAGATTACATCTTTATTTGCACTAACATCTCACTGAAATTCAGCATTTTCCTTAATTATTTAAAAATATTATGCTAAGAAGGGGTCTATGACACAAAAATGGTTAAGGACCCCTGGTCTAGAAGAAAGAGTGCTGGGCTTAGATCATCTGAGTTCAAGTTCCATCTCTGATACCAGCTTCTTCATCTGTTAAATGGAGGCAATAAAACTCACGTGGTTAGATACTATTTTAGGGCTCTCTTTTTCTCTCCTCTCCTCTCCTCTCCTCTCCTCTCCTCTCCTCTCCTCTCCTCTCCTCTCCTCTCCTCTCCTCTCCTCTCCTCTCCTCTCCTCTCTCCTCTCCTCCTCTCCTCTCCTCTCCTCTCCTCTCCTCTCCTCTCCTCTCCTCTCCTCTCCTCTCCTCTCCTCTCCTCTCCTCCCTTTCTTTTCTTCCCCTCTCCTTTCCTCCACTCTTCTCTCCTCTCCTTTCCTCTTCCTATCCTCTCTGTTGATAATCTTTCAGGGATTCAATGACCATGTCTGTGCAGATGACCCCAAAATCTATAAATCTAGCCCTAAACTTCTTAAACTCCAAGCATACCTTACCAACTGGCTGGGGGTTGCATAGACATTTCAAACTCAACATGTCCAGAAGAGAACTCATTATATTTTCTCACCATCCCATCATTCTTCCAAACTTCCATTTCTGCCAAGAATACCACCATGCTTTCAGATACCTAGGTTTATAACTTCAGATTCATCCTTGCCTCTAGCTTCTACCACACTTCTGCTTTCTAACCTGTCCCTTTGCCTCCACTCAAACGACCTCCCGTTCATTGGCTTTGGTCTGGACCATCACAATAGCCTCTAATTGTACCTCCAATTTTCTGTCTCTTCCTTTTCCAATCCATCCCTTGTACATCTGCAAAATGATTGCCCTGAAACAAATAACTAGGTCACTACCCTACTCAATAAGTATAAATGGCTCCCTATTGCTTCCAGGATAAAATATAAAATTCTTGCCCTTGCATTTAAAACTTTAACAAGCTGGCTCCCACTTGCCTTCCCAATCCTATTACATATTACTCCCTTTCATGAATTCTACACCAATCAAACTAATCTGGTAATTGTATTCCATACATGAAATTCCCACCTCTTGCTTCTGTGTCTTTGCATAGTAGTCCCCCATGTTTGGCTCTCCTTCTGACTCTCAGACTCTCAGGACTTCACTACCATACTTCAGATGCCCTCCCATCCTGGAATTCCCTCAGCACTTGGGGCTTTCTCTCCCTGAACACTCCCCTTTCCCCCAATTCCTTCTCCCATTCGTGGGTTCTTCCCATGGCATCCATTTTGAGGACAGATTCAGGCCAGCCATATTAATTCTCAGTATTGCTTTACTACTCCATGATTTAATCTCTCTGCCACTCTCCTTAATGACTGTTCTGAATTTCAGAGATCAACTATTCTACCTTCTAGGGGCAGCGAGGTGGCACAGTGGATAGAGAGTACCAGCCCTGGATTCAGGAGGACCAGAGTTCAAATCTGGCCTCAAACACATAACACTTACTAGCTGTGTGACCCTGGGCAAGTCACTTAAGCCCATTGCCTAACCAAAAAAAAACCCCAAAACCTATTCTACCTTGTATATGATCATGACTCACCTCCATAGCATCACTAACAAGTGACCAGCTTTTGCTGGAAGACCTCTTCTAGTGGTGAACTCCTGAAGCCATTCATTCCACTTCTGAACAGCCCTAATTGGTATGAAGGTTTGTCCCTACTTATGGCTTAAATATATCTCTCTGCAGTCACCACCCATTATTCTTGGCCTTTGAGGCTGAGCAGAAGGAGATGAATTGCTCTAAAAATGATGCCTTCAAATATTGAAAAATAGTGATTCTGTCTCTTTTATGTTTTCTCTTTTCTAGACTAAATATCACCTGTTTGAGGTGCAGAGTAAAACAAGTAGAACAAACCAAGAAAACAACATACACAATGATTACAAAAATGTAAGTAGAGACAACAATGACGACAACAACAATAGAACTGAATGCTGTATGATTTCAAAGACCAAGAAGGTCAACCCTAAAGGAGATCTGGCACTTGCAGAAGTGGGGAGCTGTGGGTACAGAGTATTGCATATGCCATCAGACTGTCTTGGTGTATTGCTTGGTTTTGTTTAACTACATTTTTTTTCTTCTTTTCCACGTTCTTTGTTACAGCATACAGCTTGATGGGCAAGGGAGGGAGTAGGAATATATTTGCAAATTATATAAAAACAAAGGGCAGCTAGGTGGCACCATAGTGCACAGAGTGTTGGGTGTGTAGTCGGGAAGACTCCTCTTCCTGAGCTCAAATCTGGCCTCAGACACTTACTAGTGACCCTGGGCAAGTCACTTAATCCTGTTTGCCTCAGTTTCCTCATCTGTAAAATGAGCTGGAGAAGGCAATGGTGAACCACTCCAGCGTCTTGCCAAGAAAACCCCAAATGGGGTCACAAAGATTGGATACAACTGAAGAATAACTGAACAACAGCAATAAAGCTCTCTCTACATATATATATGTATATGGATGTAAAAATATGTGTATATGTAGAGGTACACACAGATGTCCATATGCACACACACACAAATGTGTGTATACACACATGTAATACAATATACATATGTGCACATATGTATGTGTATGTAATTTTATATATGTGTGCATACACCCACACATTTCTGATATATGCTACATGATGTTTGATATATGACATATGTCCATGCTCAGTTCCTTCAGCTGATCCTTCTTTGGCATGATCTCTAGTCCTTACACTGCACTGATCATCCTACTTTGGGTATGCTCAGGCTTGTTCATAGTCTTCCTATAAGGTCATGCAAAAACTAAACAATGAGAGAAGAGTTAGATTTGGTTTGCACAAGGCAGATGGCAGAATTACTCTCTCACCCTTTCCTTGATCTGGAGATGATGCCTCCTTTAATGCGGCCCAAGAGGACAGCCTTTTCTCTGGCTGCCATATCACACTATTAACTCGTATCGAGCTTGCTGTCTGCTAAGCCTCCCAGAAGGACCTTTCTGTACAAACTGTTCTCCAGCCTTGCCTGCCCATTCTCTGCTTGTGCGATTAATCCTCTTACTCTCTAGCCCCCTCCTTTCTAAACCAAGTGTAGACCTTTCTTATCCTTATTATATTTCATCTTTTTGGATTTAGCCCACTGTTTTTTCAATATCTTTTTGGATCTTGACTCAGTCATCTTTTTTTTTTATTTCCCTTGAATAAAATGATGGTTTAAGATGCAACCTCTCCCTCCTGGGACAACTCTTAATAAAACGCTTTTCCATGACCAAATGGTAGGTGTGGGACCAGCAGCTCAGTGTCAGTAAAGACCACTTGGTTTACTCATTCCTGTCAGCAGACTTTCTGCTTTCCTAGGAGTCAAGTCATCATTCAACGTGACATGGCGCTGTTGGTTAATAGCAACAGTAGCAGAGATAATAGTATTTAGGGCTAGGAAAACCTTAGAGGATATCTTAGCCAACACTCTCATTTTCAGGTGAGGAAACTGAGGCCTAGAAAGAAAAAATGACTTTCCTAAGGGCATGGGATCATAGAATCTTAAATTCAGAGGTGAAAGAGACCCCAGGGATCCATTAGAATATAAACCCCTTCAGGGCACAGATTGATTTTGCTTTTTCTTTGTACAAGCATACCTTTGAGATATTATGGGTTTGGTTCCAGACCACGGCAATAAAGCAAATATTGCAATGAATCGAGTTGCATGAATTTTTTTATTTCCCAGTACATATAAAAGTTGTGTTTACACTATATTGTGGTCTATTAAGTGTGCAATAGTGGCATGTCTGAATAAACAATGTGCATACCTTAATTAAAAACCCTTTATTGCTAAAAAAAAATGCTAACCATCTTCTGAGTCTTTAGTGAGTCATGCATTTTCTGGAAGAGATTCTTGCCTTGATGCTGATGGCTGCTGGCTGATCAGGGTGGTGATTGCTGAAGGCTGGGGTGCCTGTAACAATTTCTTAAAACAAGCCAACAAGGCAGTTTGCCCCATCAATTGATGCTTCCTTTCACTTGAAAACTTAAAGGTCGTTGTAGGGTTATTAATTGGCCTAATTTCAATATTGTTGTATCTCAAGGTATAGGGAAGCCTGAGGGGAGAGAGAGAGACAGGGAGAACAGCAGTTTATGGAGCAATCAGAACACACACAACATTTATCAATTAAGTTCACCGACTTACATAAGTGTGGTTTGTGGTACCCCAAAACGATGACAGCAGCAACATCAAAGATCGTTGATTGCAGATTACCATAACAGATATAACAATAATGAAAAAGTCTGATGTATTGTGAGAATTACCAAATTGCAACACAGAGATATGATATGAGCTCTTGCCATTGGAAGAATGGCACTGATTAACTTACTTGATGCAGAGTTGCCATAAACCTTCAATTTGTGGGGAGAAACCCCCCCACAATATCTGTAAAGCATAATAAAGTGAAGTGTAATAAAATGAGGTATGCCTGTATCCTCAGAACTTAGTACAGTGTCTGGCACATAGCAAGTGTTTACTCAATACCTGGTGTTTGATCAAGTCAAACACTATTTTTGCAGATAAAGAAATTGAGGCCTAGAGAGCGGTCAGCAACTTGCTAATAAGAAACAGAACTGGCGTATAAACTCAGGACCTCTGAGCTGAAATCCAGCATGCTTTCTACTGTGCCATGCTGCTCTGAAAGCCTAGGCCTTGTTCCCTCACTTGCTGCCTTCTCATGGTTTAACGTCAAAGGAAGGTCCTTACCTCAGTTTCTCCTAAATGTGCAATGAGGAAAAGGGTGTTTATTTATTTATGATGGCCACTCCTTCCCCAGGGATGAGAGATGTCCAAGTGCAAGTGTTATTACAAGGTCCAATTTACTGTCCAGAAAGAAGCAATCCTGATAGAAATCTTTCATTTAATTAAAATTGATTTAAAAATTGCCTGATCAATAATGAGTTAAAAATTCATCCCAGCCTCAGTGGGAGTAGAAAGGCTTCAGAAAAGATCAGAGGAGAGTGGTTTGACTCAGGAGCCTGGATCTGGCCTGAAATTCTTTTCCTTTTGGCCCTGGGACACTTGGTATATAGCAGTTTACCCTCTGGCCCAAATGGTCAAGTACTTTCTCTGAGAAGAAGGGCACTTAGACCAAGCAGCCCTTGTCTGTTGCAATTTTAGTTTGGGTGCCTTAAAAATGCAGGATCAAGTAGCATTTGGTACAACTGAGTCTGCACCACAGAAAATGGGAAGGGTAGCATTCAGAATTCTATACAGTAGAGCTGGAAGGGAACTTAGAAATCATCTTTGCCAAGCCTCTCATGTTAAAGATGAGGAAGTTGAGAACCCGAGAGAATGGTAGACTTAGAGCTAAGGTCACATCAGTAGCAAGTGGTAGAGGTAGAATTTGATCCCAGGTCCCCTGACTCCAAATTTAGCAGGCTTTCTACTTTACCAGCATACTTCCCACTTTTCAAGGACTGGGGGAAAACAAAATTTGACTCTTCTGTAGCTCTTGATACTCATTCTTTCAGGGTGCTTCCTTCATTTGGAGAGTGGACGAGCAGATCCAGTAGGAGAATTCTATTCAATTCATTCAGTTGTCTCCATTCCAAGCAGTACTACCTTCATATGGGTCGTCATTCCCACCCACCTAGATGGACAGGTAGCCATCCGCCTTGCAGTAGCCTCCTAATTGTCCTTCTGTACTCTAATTCTCTGCTGGCTGGATTCCATCTTTCACAGTTTCCAAAGGATCAGTGATCTCATCAATATGGACATATCTCTCACTGATGCAAATAGCAGCCCTTCCCCATCTGGGCATCCTTGTTCTTGTTCATGTCTTCTTATACATTTTTCACAGGTGTGGGATGAGCATCTGACATGCTGGGGCATATACTTTAGTTCTTTTGACATTATGAAGAGACCACTTGGAGGTGCGGACTGTCCATTAGTTACGCCTACCTCTTGCCATGTGACCACTCTAGCTTCTTTTTTGCTCATTATCTCTTTGTGGACATACTCTACACTACTCTCTCTTTATGCCCCTCTATTGCTCAAAAGCCTTCAATAGCTCCCTTCTACCTATTGAATGATACTCAAGCTATTTAGTTTTGTGTTCAAGATACTCTGCAAGCTGGACCCACTGCACTTTTACAACCTTATCTCATGTTTTCCATGGATGCTCTGTATGCAGCAAAACTGTCTTATTTGCCATCTCACAGAATCAGAAACTTTCAGTGGTCCTTTATTCTGAGGCCCCAGCTGAAACATGAACTCCCTTTATAACTTCCTCACACACACATATATGTATATAAATATATGTAAACATATACAAAATATATGTGTGTATATGTGTGTATGTATGTATGTCTGTCTGTCTGTATGTATGTATGTATGTATAATAGTTCATATGGGATTGAGACCTGACTGTTTCAGATTAGACATTCATCTGGTCTTATCCCTGGGTTTGAAAGGCTCACAGTCCTATGGGATCCTGAATTCTAGAGAATTCCCTGGATGAAGCTCTAATTAAAAGGAGGGTATACAGAGTGAGGTTGGCTCCTTTGACCTCCTACGTGGACCCCCAAGTTCCTCTTTGGACTTCATTCTATTTCTGTGGCCCTGTAAACAATTACAGAGGATTACATGGTAGCAGGGAATTATCCCTATGGAAATCCACATAAAGTCCCTGTTACAAGGAGTTCTGCCCCAGAATTCTCTTTAATAATGAGGAAAGAGCACCAGAGAGATCCTGAGCCTTTCCTGGGCATGAGGAATCAGGCAGAAAGAGGAGGAATGTAACTAGCCCACTGGATGATCAGTTCCCTGTAAATAATATTCAGTACCTTTTCAACTAGACTATTTTGCCTAAGGCACTGTTCCTTTTTGGTTATTACTCTTAGATGCATCACCCGTGTTCTACTTTCTCTGGCCTATATGCTACCCACATGCCACTTGGGACTCATCACTGCTGGTGACCCCTCTGAAAAGACCCCTCTTTCCCTCAGGGTCCATTTTTGTCACCAAATTCAAGCTATTTCTTCCAAGTCATGCGTGCATTTTAACATTGGCCTTCAGGAGTTAGTGTCCTCACTCTTGTTGTATACTCACCAGTCAACAAAAACATATTAAGCACTTAGCTCTGTACCAGGCATTGGGCTAAGTGTTATGGATAAAAAGACATGCAAAATAGTTCCTGCCCTCAAGGAGCTTACACTCTAATAGGGGAGACATCATGTGTATAACTAGATATATACAAGAGAGTATATGAAAAGCAATCTGAAACACTAATGTAGGAGTTTCAAACCAGGGAGGTCAAACCCTAACATTGATGGGTGGTAGGAGGGATTTTTGAACAAGTTAAATTTTACTTAAAGGTAGTTGCTCCCTATTACTATGAATTGGGTCCTCCCTTGCCTTTCTGACTGTCTAGCTTACATTTGCATATAAATTAAAGGTTCATAAAACTCTCTCTTCATATCAACCCCTTGAGGGAGGCAGTACAAGTATTTCTCCCCATTTTACTGATGGAGGAATGGAAGCACAGAGAGATGGAATGATTTGGCCATGATCACACACCCAGTAGGAATTAGACTGAGTCTCCCTCTCTCTCTTTCTCTCTCTCTCTCTCTCTCTCTCTCTCTCTCTCTCTCTCAATAATTAATCAATTTATTTTTAGTTTTCAACATTCATTTCCATAAGATTTTGAGTTTTAAATTTTCTCCCCCTCCCTCTGCTTTTCCCTTCCCAAGATGGCATGCAATCTGATATAGGCTCTACTTATACATTCATATTAAGCATGTTTTCCCATTAGTCATGATGGAAAGAAGAATTAGAACTGATGGGAGGAACCACAAGCATGAAGCAATAAAACAAAACAACAAAAGAAGGAAGAACAAATAGTATGCTTCCATATGCATTCAGACTCCATAGTTCCTTTTCTGGATGTGGACAGCGTTTTCCATTGTGAGTCTTTTGGAGATGTCTTAGATCCTTGCATTGCTGAGAAGAGCCAAGTCTATCAAAGTCAGTCATCCCACGATGTGGCTGTTACTGTGTATAATGTTCTCCGGATTCTGCTTACTTCACTCAGCATCAGACCACACAAGTCTTTCCAGGTTTTTCTGAAGTTTGTCTGCTCGTCATTTCTTATAGTGCAATAGTATTCCATTACATTCATATACCACAACTTGTTCAGCCATTCCCCAATTGATGGGCATCCCCTCAATTTCCAATTCTTGGCCACCACAAAAAGAGCTGCTATGAATATTTTTGTACATGTGGGTCCTTTTCCTGTTTTTATGATCTCTTTGGGATATAACCCTAGAAGTGCTATTGCTGGGTCAAAGGGTATGCACATTTTTATAGCCCTTTGGTAATAGTTCCAAATCGCTCTCCAGAATGGTTGTAGACTGAGTCTCTTGATGAGTGTAGCACTCTACTACTGTCCCCTGCTGCTCCTTCTCTGAGATCTCTTTAAGGTTCTGGAACTGATAGGAAGAGACTTACACATGCTCAGAGATATTGGGAACCTGACAATTGAGACTTGAGTTTTAAAATATCATGCGGGTCAATTGGCTGTCTTCATGATATAAATATATTTCACTTGATTGTATTTATACTTCTAAGAAAATATATTCCTCCACATACACACAATTCAATTCAATGATCACCCACTGAGCCCCTAGAAAAATAGAATAATAATAGCTAACATATAAATAGGGCTTTAAGGTTTACAAAGCACTATACAAATATCTCATTTTATCTTCCCAACAAGTCTGTGAGGTAGATGCTATTGTTATCCCCATTTTACAGATGAGGAAACTGAGGCAGATAGAGATTAAGTGACTTGCACAGGGTCACAGAGCTATATTAAGTGTCTGAGGTTGGTTTTGAACTCAACTCTTCCTGACTCTGGGTCCAGTGCTCTATCCACGTAGACGCCTGTACATTTTTATAAAATCTTAAGGTTTAAAAACACTTTGTTTATAATATTCCATAAGGAAGGTAGTACAAATATTGCTTTCCCCATTGTAGAGATGGGGAAACTGATGCTCAGAGAAGCAGTGACTTGCTCAGGCTCCCAGCTAGTCCATCCTAAAGATGGCATTCAAA